AGCGACTTTTATTTTTTTATTTTTATTTTTTTGACATTGTGCTGTAATTTCGAGTTGAAACGTACACGGCTTGCCAAATTCTATTATTGAGCGTTAAAGCTTGCCTAATGGTGCTTTTCTACGCTTACTTTGCATTAATTTGTTTTCTGCAATGTAATAGTCTTCTTTTTTTTTTTTAACATCAGAAAAAAACATAAATTTCTACATATCATACAATAGATCGGCGACCTTATGATTTTTATTAATTATACTATAGGAATTTTAATATTGACAGTATAAAAAATGTCATCTTTTTTTTTTTTTTTTGGTTTATTTGGATATCTAACCGGATTTGAATTTTAAAATATCTTGTTGAAAATTTGAAGTTTTAACTATTAACTAATGTATTAATGTATGCATTGATATGACACAATGTTAATAAAAATTGTTTCGAAATGAACTTTTTAAACACTACGAGTTTTGTGTGTAAAGATTAAAAAATACATACACGGTATGCAATACACACAGTCCTTGGCGTTTGAAACCCAATCAAATAAGGATTTACGTTGGTACCTGAAAGTGACATTATTTATTTATTTATTTTTTTTTTTTACAAAAAGGGGCTAAACCGAAAATCATTTGGAGGAATGACAATACAATCTCAATTAAACTAAAAAATCGAGAATATTGACACTATATATATATATATATATATATATATGGTAATCAGATTCACTCCTAACTGCACTGCTCTTGACAGTGAATTGCTTTTAGTAATCCATCGTCCAATAACAACTTAATAAGGTGATTCTCCTCCCAGTCCATACTGGCCATGTTCTCTGTCTTGGCTCGTGGTCTAGATTGGAAGTAATTGGCATGAAATAAAACCATACCACTTTGTTATTCAAATGTGCAAAAAAAAACAATTAAATCTAATAGAAGGTAAGGTTTTCCTTAAATATCCAATCCAAATACAAGTAAGGCTTCCTATGCATCAATTTTGGTTTCTTTCTTGTTCGAAAAAGAAATTAATCTGTTTTCTTCAATAAACGAATGGCGATGTACAAGCATTGTAAACTTCCGATCAGCATCACTATCACCTTTCACTATTTTTGTCCCATGTAAAGACTATGGATGATCACCAAAATTCCAGCTAATTACCGTCTCTGATCATCTATAAACGCAAATACTTTTTCTAATTCCTTCACGCCAGAGTTTAAATCACAGATTGGAGCCACGTGTCGTCAAATTTAATAAAAACATATTTGTCTTGGAGACATTTGTTTGGTTGATTTTGTCAAAGTCAGTGTCCACAAGCTTCAGCTAGGTGCTAGGTGCTAGCACATGGAGTCTCGAAGATGTTGATTTGTTGTTTTATGCCTGGCTAGACTTCATTAATGAAAAATTACGTGTCATCGATGTGCTTAACCATTATTCCGCGAGATTACCCTGGACGAGCGGTTCAAAAGCTTGTTCTATTTTTTAATTTTGAGTTTAAAAATATTGGAATCCGTATCATAATAATTTATTAAATTATTTTTAATGTATAGATTGATGTGAAAAGTATGTTTTAAAAATCATTAAAAAATTTTTAATCTCAATAAATATACCAAATGAGTCGAGAATATTTTTATCATCCAAATAAAGAAAATAATTTCGTCAAGTATTTTCACTCTCTCTCCATTTCTTGTTTTTGTTTCCTCGAATTCATGATTTTTTTTCCTCGTTGAGTCATCATAGGTTTAGTGCGATTTCCAAAAAATATTAAAAATACCTTTCCTTCAACTGAAACTAATTAAAAAAAATTTAATAATTCATTGGAATAAAAAAATATTTTTCTATTCCGTACAAGGGTAATACTTACATTGCATTTAAAAGTATTTTTCAATATATGTTGGATTGAAAATACTTTAATTTGATAATTTTATAGATATTTTTGACTAATTTTAATATGCTAATATGTAAAATGTGAAAAAAAAATACCTGAAAAAAACATCAAATTAGTGTATTTCCCATCCAAATGTGTTTTTACAAAAACACTCATACTACATTGTCAAACACTCTACCACACTCAATTTCATATATTTTTATAGTAAAATATCTTTAGATCTGTTTTTTTTTTTACTTTAAAATTTTCCGACGTTATTTATTTTATATGAATAAAGAAAATTTGAACTAATTTAATATGGTAAAATCAATTAATATAGTGTGAAGTTATTTAACAACAAGCAAACATATAAATCTTTTTAGGCTCGTTTGTTTGGCAAAAAATAACTTTCATAGGAAAATTAATTTTTGAAGAAGTTATTTTTCAGAAAATTATTTTTCAAAAAATATTTTTTTTGCTATTTGGCAATTATATAAAAAAATTATTGAAAAATATATTTCAGCATTTGTTTGATACAAACAATTAAAATACAAAAACAATATGTGATTGTTACATTAACGATTTTTTAAAACATTTCAAAAAAGCATATTCCTAATTTCACAATATAAGATACATTTAGAAAAATTTAATAAATTTTTATAAATACTGACTCTAAAATTTATATTCAAAAAATAAAATATACTTTTTAAACTATAAAATCAATTCATTAAAATTACTTGGGATAAAATCAAGTCAATATTCACATTTAGTTAAAAAAAATAAAAATTCTAAGTGATCCTAGTATTATTATTTTGGTCACTCAATTAAGAATTTTTTTTCTTCTGAAAATTGAACTGATAATTTAGTCTAAAAATAATTTTACAAATTATTAGTTATCATTTGTAGATAATTATTCATTTGGTTTTAAAAGATTAATATTGAAATAATTTGTACCTAATTATTCACAACAATTACCAATAAAATTTTACAACTCGATTAAAATTATAAATTATTGATTTAGTTACAAATGAATAGTGTTGAGAAAATAATATATTTATTAATAAATAAATTAATTTTAATTTTTTTACAAATGATTGCAGTCTTGTAATAATCATTTTCGATCATTTAAGTATAGTTCGAGTGGTGTTTGAGATAATAGTAAAAAAATAAAGATAAATTATTAAAATAATTTTTATAAAAAATAATTTTAAGGTGTAAAAATAATTTTTAAGAATATTTAATATATTTAGAAATAAAAAATCAAATGTTAGTAGAAATAGAGAAAAAAATTAATTAATTAATAATAATTGATAAGGAATAATTAAAAATTAATTTGATATATTTTAAATAAAAAGATAGAGAAAAAATTGTTAAAATATATCGAGAGAGGTAAGTAACGCAAGAGCGAGACATCTAGAAAGAAAATGTTTTTCTCTTTTTTAACTCGAAAAAATATTTTTTCAAAAATACTCTTTTATTTTCCATTGATTTTTTTCTTAAACGCGAAACAAATATCGCAAAAATAAAAAAAACAAGTTCCTAAAACTTATTTTCTTCCAAACAAACACAGCCTTAATGAACTAAATGAATCAAAGTTAATAAAAAAATTATATAAAAAGAAAAATAAAAAAAATTCTATCATTCAAGTCAATTGCCTTTTAGTTTAATCCGTAGCTCAACGCATAAATACATATAATCACAAACAATTTATATGTGTTCATCATTTCATTTCATAAACAAATTTATATTTAAATAATTTTAATACATAACATGTATTCCACAAAATAATTATTATTTTGAGTCGTCAAATTGATTGAATTTTAATAACTTTTTCTTAAATGTTCAAATTAAAAATTTATCCAATTTAGTAATGAGATTAGAATAGATAAAAATAACCTTTTCTTTTTCTTTTTTGGTGTCATGCTTCACAATATTCTCATGTTCCTAACCTAAGCCGGTAATCTAGGTTAAATCTCACTAAGGAAAAAAACCCTTAATTTCGTTGGTTATTTCCGTAATATAAAAAAAAAGACAAGAAATAAAGAATTGAGTTTTCGGTCCAAACCTGACCGCACCCCATATCCAACCGAGTTACCCGACCCAATGCCGACTGCGAATCGAAACACCAATTAAAAAAACAAAAAATAAAAAAATCATGAGAAGCGTAAATTAAATATGGCATTAATTTCTCTCATAATCTCTTTTTCTCTAGAAGACGGAAAAGCCCATATGCAGAGAGAGAGAGAGAGAGAGAGAGATAAAAGGGAGCGTCCTTCCTTTACAAAATTTCCTTGAAATGAGAAATCGCGTTTAAAGCTCGTCCTTTCTCTCTGGACACGCTCAGTGAATGATCCTGACACTCTCATCTAATCCAATTTGCCATTTTAAACCCCTTCCAAAACAACAAACCTACAATCTCCTCTCCTTTTGCAACCTCAAGCCTCCCTATATTTTCAATTTTTTTGAAACTAGTGAAGTTGTTTGGCCATGGCGATTGGAGCGGCACTTGTTATTATGCCGTTAGGCGTTTTCTTTTTTGTTCAGGTTTAATCGTTAATCTCATTCAGGTACTAGCCCTTTGTCAACAAACAAACTTGTTTCTTATTTTTTTGTAACTTTAGATTTCATTTCTGTTTTCTGTTTGTTTTTCCGTTTCCAAATTTCGAGTTCCGATCAAATCTAGGTTTCGAATCTTTATCGTTTTTATTTTTTGGTTAAAAACGGCGGAGTATATTGATTGTTTTAATAGGATTCAAAATCTAACATAGGTGGTAACGATTTTTTTTTCTCAGGCAATTTGCTTTGTTTTTATTCGGCCTGTATCAAAGAGCACGTACAGAAAAATCAATAGACAATTGGCGGAATTGTTATGGCTCGAACTTGTTTGGATCTTCGATTGGTGGGCTGGAGTCCAGGTTTTAAATAAATAAAAACTCACAATTTTTTACATTTTATGTTTCTTCTATGCATTTTTATTAACTATGATCAGTATGATGCATTTGATTAAAAAAAAAAGAAAAAAAAAGAAAACTAGAAGTGTTATGCATGTGTATTTGATTAAAATGCTGACGTTGTATTAAGACTGGTTGCTTAAGTAGATCCTTTACGATTGCGGTATTTAAATGTTTGTTGTTTTATGCTATCGGGGCTCCGCATGTACTATGTAGACGTGTCATTTCAAATAATGTTTAGAACATTTTTAGCGTGTTCATGTGATGTCTGTTACCTAAATTGCTTTTTTTTATAATGCATTATCTTAGAAATGGAATTGATAGCATTTAGGAGGCAGCGTCTGATCTTTGGATTTATGTTTTGGTTATTCTCTATGAAGTAATTTTTTTAATCTGCATCCTTGTGTCTGCAGATCAAAGTGTTCACAGATCAGGAAACCTTCCATTTAATGGGCAAGTCTATGCTTGTTTTCATCGAGATGCTGGTTGCCTATTATTCTTCTTACGTTTTGGGGGATATAAATTTGTCTATTTCAGAAATCTTTTTACTTGCTGCTCATTTGTTTGCTCATACTGTTAATTTTGCAGGTAAAGAACATGCTCTTGTTATATGCAACCACAAAAGTGACATTGATTGGCTTGTCGGATGGGTTTTGGCACAGGTGTGTTGTTTAAGTATGGCATCTTTTTTACACGTGTGATAGACATATAAAGTAGAACATTTGTTAGTTTGTTTGTTTCTCCTGGGTAAATAAGTGCACAAAACCAACACACATCTCAAACTGATATATGTTCACTACTGTTCATGAGATATATCTCTCATGAAGGAATGTCAATCTACAATGCAGAAATACCTCATATAAGCTCATACCATAAAGTTATGTTGAAACTTAGATGTTTATGGTGTCTTTGTGTGTTTATTTTCCAAGTTCTCTACTGCTAACTGATTCTTGAGGTTACTCGTGACAGCGAGCGGGATGCTTGGGAAGTACATTAGCTGTCATGAAAAAATCATCAAAATTCCTTCCGGTATGTTTATCCTTGCACATTTTGAGCTTGTGTTTGAGTTTGATGCTGAAAAAATTAAGTTCAATTCTCATATATGATCCTAAACTTAGGATTGGCAGTTTCACTTGCAAAAAGGCGACTTTATTAATAAGCTGTGGATGTGGTAGAACTTACTGTTTTTGGAACTTTGGAGTGATTTGATACAATATATCATTCAGCATTCTTTGTCTTAAAGGTGTCCACTGGCTATGGTTATATATAATCAGTTACATAGAGAGAAGCATTGTTTCCATCACAAGAAAATATGCCTTCTGAGTTGCATGGCATGACCAAGAAAATTAAACAATGTGATTTAGCCTGTAGGTTCGTACCTGATTCAAAAGGATTCAGTGTCATATTACTTTGGTGTGGGACATATTTGTACCTTAGGGTTTGTGCTTAAATCTCTCTCTCTCTTACCAATGTACATTCATAAAATAGATTTGCATTGGCCTTGTTACTTGTATGACCATCATTTTAATGCTTGTTAATAGAGGATAATTGCTATGCTCATCCTGTTCAGGTGATAGGCTGGTCAATGTGGTTTTCTGAATACCTCTTTCTGGAAAGAAACTGGGCTAAGGATGAAAACACATTAAAGGTACGCACAAATATGTTCTAGTCACACATGTACAATAACAAATACAGATTCCCATGTGCACTTCCAGAAACTTGTGTATCTCTTTAAATATCCATGTGTGGGGTGTGCCCCTGTTGATACCAATTTGAATTCTCTGGAACTCTTATCTGCAGTCAGGTCTTCAACGGCTAAAGGACTTTCCTCGTCCATTTTGGCTGGCTCTTTTTGTGGAAGGAACTCGCTTTACTCAGGCAAAGCTTTTAGCAGCTCAGGAATATGCAGCTTCTCAAGGGCTGCCAATCCCAAGAAATGTTTTGATTCCTCGTACGAAGGTCCAATACATTGCATGGTTTTTGAATTCAGTTCCTCATGCTTTTGTTTTATTACATTCAAAATAGTTCTTGATTGAGTGGATAAAGTAGAGTAGTGCTGCACTTTGCATAGATTTCTATCAGGGATCAATTAGGCACCATCGACTTCATACAGCTGTTGGAAGGTAATAAATATCTGTGTTGTTTTTCAGGGATTTGTTTCGGCAGTAAGTAATATGCGCTCATTTGTACCAGCCATATATGATATAACATTGGCTATCCCAAAAAGCTCTCCTCCTCCTACTATGCTTAACCTCTTCCAGGGGAAGTCTTCTGTGGTAAGCCTCCAGAATAACCTAAGGTTTATTATGCATCTGTATGGAGCAGTTTACCTTTTGTTGAAGTTTTGCAGTTGTTTTTGTTGCAATTATTCCGAGCTTTCAAATCATATCATCTTTAGATGTATTGTTTGAGTTCAGAAATATGTATGTGAAGTGTAGTGAGGACGGATCCAACATTTTTCATTTTCATTTTACAATCATTTGTTTATACTGGCATGTCATTCAGAAAATATTTCAACAATGATGGAAGCATCTTATAAGTTTGGACTTTTCAATGTTTAAGATGTTTTGAAGGGTTGGACCACATGCAAATGTATTGGATTTCATATAATGGAAACAATTCGACTTTACTCTCTTGCAGGTACACATACACATAAAGCGGCATTTGATGAAGGAATTGCCCGAAACATATGATGGTGTTGCACAATGGTGTAAAGATATTTTTGTGGCGAAGGTGGGTATAGCCATTCAACTTGTGTTGTTCAATGCTGCTCTTTTCTGGCATTGCCGTTATATCCATATGAAACATTAAAATGCAAGGAAAATGGTGGTCAGCTTTACAAAGTTATTTGTTATTGAGGCTGTTGTTCAACCCATTTGTATAGTGACACCTATTTGCATTATTGTTGCTTTAAATGCTTCACTGCCTCCATTTGGAATACCAGGATGCATTGCTGGACAAGCATATGGCTGAGGACACCTTCAGTGACAAAGAATTGCAGGATATGGGTCGACCAAAGAAGTCTCTTGTGGTGAGAATTTTTCTAGTTACCAGTCAAATATAGCCTTTTGTCCTTCTGGTATTCAGTGGTTGTAGTTAATTTTATGGACTATTATCCAACTGACTGTTGTGACCAGGTCGTTGTCTCTTGGGCATGCCTCCTTATTTTTGGGGCCCTGAAATTCCTTCAACGATCTTTACTTTTGTCATCTCAGAAGGGTATAGCATTAACAGCGTCTGGTTTGGCCATTGTCACTTTCCTAATGCACATCTTGATTCGATCTTCTCAGTCAGAGCATTCGACACCTGCCAAGGTTGCGCCATCTAAGCCCAAGGATGAAGAAAAACCTTCAGAGACACGAGATGACAAACACCACTGAGTCTAGTGTTTGTCAATTCTCACATACATTGACAAGTCATTGGGAGTCAGTTTTGTGGTAATATGTGTAGTACGTGTGTCTTCCCTGATTTTCCTCTTGTGAGTTTTCATCTTAAAACTAGTCATAGTGATGTCTTCCATATCAGCACAGTGTGTATGCATATCAATTCATTATTTGCCAGTCAATTAGGTTATTTGCTATAGATTGTATCCAAAATGACGGTCTGTGTGTATTACTGCTTAAATTAGGCTAGTTGTTTACCCAATTACAGGTTTTCCCATGCCTGCATTCTGATAAGCCTTTTAGATAGTCTGAAATCAAACTTGACTTTTGGCTTCTTAATCTCATTGCATTCAGTCTTCGACAGTCAATGATTGAAGGATTTTATTATAAATTTTAATTATCTTACCTGTTTGGGCATGAAATGCAGTGGACCCTGCTGTTCTGTGCTGTAAAATAATCGTTTAAATGCTATAACCTTCCATCTTTGTGGTTCAATTAGTCGTTGCATTGCCTTTTTTATAATGCATGGTTATGTTTTGTTTTACTCGCAAATGATAGCAGTAACTTGCAGGACAATTTGTGGTGTAAAATTGATGAGATTTGGTTTGCTAACTAGAGAAATTTTAATTCCGTTCATGGTTGACTGGGTAGTTGCCGTAGAAGTTATCAAGATATAAACATTGTTATGTTAGAGGTTAATATAAAATATATTCGGAGGCGTCATTTATCAGCTTTAAGCTTTTGGGTGAGATAGTCCTTTAATATGGTATCGTAGCTTAGTTGATCATGTGGTTCCGAGTTTAAGTCTCACCATCCCTAATCTCTCAAGTATTAAGCACAAGGCAAATGTGGACTTGTGTAAGTTTCAAGCTCAAATGTTGAGGCTTACACTTGAGGGAGTGTCTTAGAGGTTAATATAAATTATATTCTAGTGGCCTCCCCTATCGACTTAAGCTTTTAGGTGAGATGGTTTTTTAATATGTTATCCGTTTGTTTAGTTTTCTTTGCTAGATGTCACATTTATTTATGACCTTAAACAAGTGTATCCACGTGTACTTATGACACTAAAATTTTCACCACCGGTCCGGTTAGAAGTGAGGAGCAAGGTCACCGACGGCCAAGATTGGTCCTCTTCATTTAACAACCGTTGTATTGCCGAGTAGGCGATCGTTTAAAATAGAATACCATGCGGTATAAGAAAAGTAGCGTCGAGCTTTTCGGTTTCCTTGTATGATTAGGATTTGTGAATCCTAATCCGATATAGATTCGTTTTTGAATCTCAAATTGGTTGGTATTAGACCTCTCTCATATAGAAAAAGAAAAAGAAGCTCTCTCAAATAGAAAAAAAAAAAAAGAGGTAAAAGATTGTTTGAATTGAATAGATAAAACTCGAATAAGATCATGACAAGCTAGAGTAGTAGAGGTAGGCTATCAAAGAGTTCATACAAGAACACTAATCCTCTTTCTTAGGTGAATAACCTTTAGTCCATAATTACTTATTTTTCGCAAAGATATAGGAAGGAAATCAAGGTCTTTGCTATGAAAATATGACCTTGTACGAGTTCTAAAAAGAGAGTAGCTTATCGTAATGGATAATGAAAAAAAAAAAGTTTATAAATTTAAAGTTAAACAAGCAATTGGAAAATATAAGTAGAACATTAAGCAATGAATCCAATCTATCTTTATTGTTAGAATCTTCTTTAGTTCCATAGATGGCGTGAATTGTGCTTCCAGGACCAATTCGGACCTTGATTCTTTGTCTCATGAAGCTAGTTTTTTAAAGGATTTTTTTTTATAGACATACGACCGGATTAACATGTTTATATTATATACATAAATACCCTTTGTGTATAAGATATAGTTTTGATGAAGAATTTGTAAGATCGTAGATAATAGATATTTCAAAGCTTTTTTATGGAATAAATTTATCGACCCAACAACTAAATTCAATTTGCTAATCTATTTAACATTAGTAAATAGGAAAAAAAACTCGATATATTTATAACTCCCTTATACCATTGCAACATAAAAAGAGCTAACAAAATTCAAATTATAATTCACCGTGTAATGATAAATGAACTCCTCATACATCACACACCTCTCATCTATAAGATTGACATGACTTATTAGTGAAGATATACTAAAAAAAAAAAAAGACATAAATTGTTAAAAAAATTGGAGTATGTAAGAGTTAATTATGCACGTGAAGACAACGAAGTTGCAACATGTGAAATTCGAACTTTCAACTTTATATGCGAATGATGTATGAGGAGTTCATTTATCGTTATACCAATCCATTATTGACATAATGAAAATTTTTAACGGTTTTTAAGAAAGATGCAATATGCTTACTCTAACAGCTTTTTTTAATGGTTTTTAAGAAGTAAAAAAACTATGAATGCCTTTTATTTTTAATAAGCGAAGGATTAGTATGGATTTCAATCTTTTTGTTAGGCATTATCTTGAACTAAACTTCAAAATGATTGGTTCCTCACAACCTATAATGGAAGTAGGTCTTCGATCTTGTTATGGACATGAGAATGCATTGGAAAGTTTCGAAGTTAATAACTAATCAATATGAAATCCCAATTTTTACTCCTAACTAAAGTTTTTTCTTTTTAAAGGAATCGAGTGGAACGGATTTTCTTTGCTATTTGTTCTCTATAGCCAAAGTAATGTAAGAAAATAATTCTCTTAATGTTATCTTCTGGTCCTCCTAAAAAAAAAAAAATCCAAGCAAAGAAATACATGAGAGGAATAGATTCAAACTCGGGTGATTTTCTTACTCCTTTTATTTCTTTGGGAATATAGAATATCTTAAGTAGTTTAACTTTATAGAAATTTTAGTTAATTAGTTTAATTTGTTTTTTAAATCATCCTATACCTTTATTAGCTAAATGTGATTACTTTATTTTACTTAAAATTGTGTTTTGTATAATAATTTAGCATTTTAAATTTTGGAGAATAAGTGAAATAGGGTACTCCGTTCGATGTTATTTTATTTTTAAATTTTCTTTTGAACAAAAATGAGTTTTTTCCTTATTCATTATATTATACATTTTTCCTTTTTTTTTTTTTTAGTTTTTAATTTCTAAGTATATGTGTACTAGATATTATCATCATTATTCATTACTAATAAAAATAAACATAACAAAAGTAGTTATAGTCTAAAAATAGATCGGGGACTACATGACTAACGTGTATGGTCCGATGATCTTATATATCTTTTTTTTTTTTTTTTGTACAAAAGAGATTAGAGCACAAAGCTAGGCTATAAGGAAAACTCGATAGCATCACTCAAAAGGATATTGACAAGACTCATAGGAGGGTGGTGCCAAATCTACAATGGCATGTCGGTAGATGAGCCACTCTTAGTTAAAAAGTCAGCTCCACGGTTGTCTTTTCTCAAAATATGACTTAATGAGATTGTCCACCGACGTTGTTGAAGACAAATGAATATCAAAAGAATATTATAATACGAGTGAGAAGATAATACCCCATCGCAATAAGATAAATTATTTCCTAAGAATCAGCCTCTATTTCGACCTTCTTGTAACCCGCGCCCCAAGCAACAATTAGACCCTATTAAATGGTTTCTATCTTTGCAAATATAATAGATGAGTGGCTTTAAAAACCCGAAAAACCAATAATCCATGTCCCATGAGAATTCTAGAGCAAACCACCCATTCTAGCACGGTTAGAATAAGGCGAGGTAACCACCATCCGTGTTAAGCTTGATCGAATCTAAAGAAGAGGTTGCCAAAAGATCCGACATCGGGAAACATAAGTCATAGTCGATAGCGAGTAGTATCGAAGCCTAGCTTGTAGTCCCGTGTTAGTTAATGGATCATCTAAAATTGACTTCCAGTTGAGTTAATAGACCTCTATATGACTTCTTGATTTTGAGACTCGCTAGATAACCCAACATGTAAAAATGAATAATGAACATTGATGCCACGAGTATTAACGTTAAAAACATTCCTATGGAACCAATTCTCCCTAAAAGTATAGAAGAAGTCGGAATAAAAGTAAATAGGTAAAGACATTGCCATATACCATTAACCCTTAAATAGTATTGGAGAATATGAACAATTGACTCCTAGGCCATTCAACACTCGGCACATATAGGAGACATAGTCATTCCTCTATGGAATTGAAGAACATTGCTTGGTAAATGCTACCATTCTAACCGCCAAAGAAAGAAGCAATGTTTCTAGTGGTAACCGAAACTTTTAGATACTTTTTTCAATGGATATTTAGCTCAATTGGATAAAAAATACAAGTGATAAATTCATAACCAGATTGTACAAGTATAACATCCGGAGCTAGCTTCACCCTAAACCAATCTATCTATAGTAGAATGAACTCTAAAGAGAAGATAGCCAACAAAGTGGAGTTGATATAGGAAGGAAGTGGGGTGTAAATACGATATAGATCCTCATAATAGATGCAGATATGATGTCAGCAACCATGTCCTTTTCCCCATTGGCAATGGATGGTGCATTATATCTTAGGGAACATGAGGATGTCTAACAATTAAACAAGAAAGACACATGTCCCTATTGTCAATTCTCTAAATATAGCCATCCTTAATATAAGACATAGATTTACAAACACCCTTCCAAATCAAAGAAGCTAGTTGAGAAGGATGATGAGTTAAAAAGAGTCACCATGAAGATATTTTTGACACAAGACATAAACTTAAAGCTTTTCCCGACCCTAAATAATGTCCCGTCCTAATTTTCTAAGCATAACAATGTTATTATCTCTTGCCATTTTAAAACCCAAGCTCCTTCGATCTTAAAAGATGTAATCGCTTTTTATTTCAGTAAATGAATACCTTTACCATTATCTAGAGATCCTAACAAGAAGCATCCGACAAGTCCATCAACCTCATTGCAAATTGAAAAAGGGAGGCAAACAAATTGCATAATTTAGAGAAGGATAATGGACAATATCAACTAGATAAGAGTGCATCAGCTAGCTATGTTTAAAAG